CCCCAAAACCCCAAAACCCCAAAACCCCATGGGTCCAAGATAAAAATTTTGAGATATATAATTTATTTTAAAAATGATATTATATCGAATTAGATTTAGATATGATAAACTAGAGCATCAGCTATTATTTAAGGAGCTTTTTGGATTCTGACTTTCACAATTTAGCATTGCGGATTGAATCTTTTTCCTTATCAAGATTATAAATGAGTAATACTTGAAAAGTCATACCTTCTTTGATTTCTCCTCCATTATAGTATTCATTTTTATCATTTTCTCCCCAAGTTCCAAAACATTTTAATGTCTTAAATCCAAAATTTTTCGTCCATAAAAAGCCTTCTCTTGACACTGCAATTGCAACTAGATTCTTAAAACCAAAGTTTTGGAGAAGGTAAAAATTCAATAAAGGAGCTATCCTTGTTAACAAATTTGATCTTCTGTAATCACTTCTTGCTACAGCATATCCCACATAGCAATATTCACCTGGCTTAGAGTTAAGGATTTTTCTCGAATGTTCTCTCATTGATTTCAATTTCTCAGTTGCTCTCAATAATTTCTTTGAGGTCGTATAAGGCTCAAAAGTAAGATCAAATGCTAAAGAAAACGCTACTACCTCTCCATTTTCATTAAATGCTCCCCAGGCTTATCCATTCTTAAACATATTTCTTCCAGCTTCTAGTTCCGTATCATAGAACTCTTCCAAATTCTTATAATATGGTTGACTTTTCAATTCATTAAATCTCATCATCATCGCTTGATCCATTTCTTCTACTGATTTGAGCTTTCTTATTACAATGTTGTCTTAAGTTATCTTTTTTTCCATTTTCCAGTGAATATTTTGAGAGTTTTTGCTAATAAATTATTTGCCTTTGATAATTGACTTTTATTTAAAGGATATTTTTCAATACAGATATTAAATTTAAATTTCTAAATGTGTGAAAGGCAATCATATTACATTTCTAATTAATTTAGCATTATATTTATTTTACAGATTAAAAAGTGGCAATTACACATTGATGGGGTTTTGGGGTTTTGGGGTTTTGGGGTTTTGGGG